TGCTTGGTCACAAGTTGATGCTGAGCAAGTGACAGCTCAAACACAGCAGCTCTTTCCAGCGCATCTTCAGAAAGAAGCGACAGTGGAATTTCCTATCCACACAGTTCGACATAGTTCGACCATGTTCAACCTACACTGTGCTTTGAAATCCGACTGCCCAGTCTGACCAATCAAATCCTGTGGCCGGACCTATATGGGACAGTAGTAACCCTAGACAAACAACCTCTCCATCAATTGGTTAAAGCGGTACAAACATGGAACATGTTCAAATCATATCCCGGGAGCTCATGTCATAAACTCTCCTCCATTACTGCCACTTGCGCAAACTTCCCAAAGTGCATATCTTGACAAAGCCTTAGCGATTCGCAAGGACGCTCTGGACTTCTTGGGCACGGAAATCTACAAATGGAGGGGACAGTCATCGGATACTGTAGGGACGCTGGTCAAAATGTTGGTTCCCCAGCATGGTCACTCGGCACCGAAACATTGACATGTTTGAATCTGGCAATGCCTTGACTTGTGTGGGTCACTAGGTCTTCAAGAATAACGGTCAGCTAGTACAAGCTAGTACAGAACCAACACTGTCGTTGTGAGTTGCTACATTTAGATTAGGATGAGCCTCATACCAACGGCTAAAGGTCACATCTAAAGTATGACCAGGTATAGTAAAGGCTATTGAAGATACAATCCTGCGCTGGCCTATGCATGGGCCATTGATCAAATTGAGTAGTCTTACATGTTGAATGAACAATGCCAAGGCTGCCAAGGTTGGGGCAAAACATACTGCATACAAGAATCAAGCAACCCATAGGGACCCATAGGCCATAGGCATTTATCCACACCGATTGAATGTTTTGCTTTTGTCTGTGTGCGTGTTGCTCTGTGTCTTGTGTTCCAAACAAGTGCCAAAAGGATATGCAAATCTGACCGGCACAAGGCTTGCCTGACATGGACCTCAGCAAATCAGAGTAAAAACTTGGTATGAGACGGTGATGTCTTCAGCTCCAGCATCCGCTGCAAGGACTGCAGTCGGCTTTTGACCACCAAGAGACAACCACCAGGTGACTGGTTCCAAGAGACTTTCGAGAAAAAGTGATGAGGGTAAATCAAGTGGGCGCTCAAGAGGATTTAGATGGTAGGTCTTTATCTGTCCGCAATATGAAAGCCATCTAGTTTTTAGCCTCACCAGCACCAGTGCCTCAAAAAGAGAAGGCGCAGGCAGCTCGGAGGTGGTTTGGTTCCTGTCAGCTCGCACCAAAAGCCCTGGCTTGCATTTTAAAGTTGTGCACATTATTCGAAAATCCGAAAATCCTAGTTGAAAGGGCCAGGTGGTATTTCATCCCAAAATTGGACAAAGCTGTTGAAGGCAGGGTAAAAAAAGGTGGCTTTGGAAGAGGAGGTATGGAAGCAGTTGATCACAAAAGTCCAAAATAAAAACAAAGAGCTGAGACTGCACAAGGGATCTAGACAGCTATACGCATTTTATATGTACTGTACAATACTGTACATATATAGCTGCTATAGCTGCTACACACTGTTGTTCAGAAAGCCCTTGGTCCTTGCAAGGAAAAAATCCACTATGATGGATCCCTCCACGACTGTCATCACTTTCACTCGATGTTGTTGCCTGACGCCGGCTTTCGCTGGTTGGTAAGATTTTTAAATATCTCAATGTTATAGAAGACCGAGCATTGAACGTTGCATAGTGTTCCTTCTGAATGCAGAGCGGAGTTCCGTCAGAGTCTACAAAGGTTTGCCTGAGTACTATGACGTAGCGTTAACCAGCAAAGAACTATCAGCGCTTCCACCCACAAAGCAAGGCAAGAAGAATGCAAGAAAACAAGGCAGTCAAAATGTGTTAAAGTCATTGATCTTCCACAAAGCCTTTCGCGTTTTGAATCACGTGAAGTTTCCATCTTGGATGCTTGACAATCAGCAAGGGTCCGACGGGTCTTCACTCAGCGGTGGGTTGCTACAAAACAGTGCACGGGCAACAGCTTCTTCAAAAACCTGCATTGTTTCCAGGTAAGAGGAAAAACACATTGCAGCAAAGAACAATAAAGGAACAAAATGGAACAGCAAAGCAACCTCAGTTTTTCCAAAAGGAAACAAACTGCATTTTTGTGAGTACAAATGCCGAGCGCTGCAAGTTATCTCTCTATCGTTTCTGTGCCAACTCTCCAAGTGCAAAAGCTCTTGAGTAAACGCATAGATGTACATAAATGATCATAAATGAACATTCAGCGAAGCACATCAAGTCTCATGTGAGTCTATTGTAGACAGCCAGATGCAAGGTCAAGCAGTTTAGGCACATCAAGAGAATTTTCACGAAAAAAGGTCCCATGGTACACTTCGTGTGTCACAAACGATTGCGCCATCTTGGCACAAACTGCAGTATCTGAGGTAATCACGTGCTTAATTGAAATGATGAAAAATAACCCATTTGGAAATGCTCATGCCAGCCTGCGTGATACGTGTTACCTAGCATATTTGTGCATTTGTTTCCATGTATGTCATGTATGTGAATATGTCGTGCATATGTGCGTTAACATGCATGTTGGCTACATGCATATGTCAGCATGCACATTTGCATCTATGTCGATGTATGTGTATATATATATATATATATAATTGTATGCGTGTATTGTATGTGTATATGTATACATATATACCATTATATACCTACATATGTGTGAATGTGTGTGTGTCTTCTCTGTACATATGAGCGGCGTTTAAAACCTTTTTTAGACCAAGTGGGAATTATTCCAGCTTGCCCGACACCCTTGCACCGTCCTTGCGCGACAACAGCGGGAGCTTGCTCGCTGTCGATGGCTAAAATTGAATTGATTAAAATTGCACAAGTTTGCGCGAACACGTTTTGCTGAGATTTGGTACAGTTTTGGTCGCGAGATGCGGGTGTGCAGCAGGTTTTGGTGTTTCACAAAAACATGAGCTTACGCGAAGCTTGTGAAAAGCTTGCGCGCATGTGGTCCCGTCATTTTTTCAAGATTGAATTCCATCAAAGACTAAAGTGGTCCACCAGCAGTTTTGAACGCGCCTCAGACGTTCATATGATTGAATAATAGAATAGTAATAAAATGTGTGTTTATGCTTTACTTATATGTGCCAGGGTCAAAACATAGTATATGATTTGTGGTCATCCATTCCATATTGGGAATCCGAATAATGGGTATATAAATCCATATTAACGAATTGATGACCATCCTCCAATATAGGTATACAATCCAGCTTTTGATCGTGGCACATATCAAATGCTGATAACTGATAAATGATCGATATCTCGTATGTAAAGGCAAATTTACATGCACAAATGAATAGTGTACGATGTGTATGCTGAAATGCCTGACCAGTCATGTCAAGCCAAGGGACTTATAGAAATGGAAAGAAGCGAGAAGAATTGAACTCATGTAGGAAAGGATTAAAAAAGTGAAACAGTTCAGAATTGAGAAGAACTGAGCTGGGCTGAGAAGTGGCGCGCACAGGTGAAGAGAAACGAAGCAAGATGAGGAATTCACAGAAGCTCAGAAGATGTGAGGCTTCACCCCAATTCCTATAGGCAAACTTTGTCTTTGGATCCTATAGTATACTGTAATATTCTTCCTGCTGGAAACTTCCGCCACCCGCCTCGCGCAGGTTTTACTGTAATCATCAAATCGCAAAACATTTTCTTTGGCTCTAGTCTATTGATTTTGCTTTCCCAAAAGTCTTGGGGTTCAGACTCTCGATTCTTCTCATGGCGTGCCGTCTGTTCCTAAGAGTCCTGTATCAGACAATAGGATACCAAGATTGCGAAGTCGGAGTTCAGAGACAAGCCAGTGTAAATCCGACCAATGCCTGAATGAATGAGGTCGGAAGACGATCCACTGCAGAACCATAGACCTTACCAAACTGATATGGCATCAGCTTCAACGGACACAAACGTACGTTGACGGTTCTGGCAAGACTGAATCAACGCTAGAATTAGAAAACATTAGAAATCTGTGCAGACAATTCAGCATAGGCGCCCTGCATTCCCTGAAACCTCTGAAAACGGACGACGAATTATCATCCGTGATCGGACCGTCCGCTCCTTGCAACAGGCTGAGCTCATTCACAATGTGCTGGTCAAACAGTGGATGTGCTTTGATCAAACCACGCCCCAAAACCGCAGCTCTGCCGATTTCGACAGCGGTCAGTATCACAGTCAGAGCCTTACAGCCTGGGCTGCAAGGCAAGCTCAGAAGCGTACGATGCTAGTGGATATGTACCCATCATTCTGGGTTGCGTTTGCACCCAGGTTTTGGCCCTTGCAAGGAGATAGCTTCGTGAAATGTGACGCAGCGCTCAAGAGAAGAATTGCTGTCGAGCAGAAAACAGGTCAGCTGTGCCCAGTTGGTGTTGCAACCTTGCCAAGTGCCTTTGGAAAATCCAAGGAATTCAGCCTGGCACTCTCATTCCACTCTTTGCAATCCCCAAATGCATTAGGATGCGTCACTAAAGATTTATCAAATGCAAATCCATAACAGGTAACATTCGATGTCAATGCCTTACTTTACCAACACTGTGTTTCTGGATGTGTCACAAGATTGGGGATGCCAAAAAAACAGTACGGCTACATCGAGTTTCCCTGCCTGCGCCCGTTGTTCGAGTGAAAGCTCTTCCCAGGTCAACTGCGCGCGAAAAACTTCGCTGTGAAGAGCATGGAAGTAAACTTTGCTGTGGAGGTCTGAATTGCTTTGGAATTTGCGCGGCTGTGCCATGCTGCGCTATGGTGCGCCTGCATGGTGATGGTATTCATCATACCTCCAGTCCATAACTGATCGTTGTGACCAAGAAGCTGCCTGGCACATGCACTAGAACTTTGTGATGAACTTTGCAGGTGTGCTCGACTGTGTGAATGTCACCTCACACTCAGTATCTCCCAGTTGTTTTTCGTTCTTGCTGCTTGTCTTGGAACGAGAAAACACTGCCCGCAGTATAAAGATTGCCTGAATTAACTGATGGATAAGCATCCAGACAGATTTTGCGGGGTGTTTGAAGACTTCCTGCTAGTTTTCCATAAAGCCTTCGCTTTTTGTGGTTCCAAAGATGGCCTGGACAACTCTACCTGAAATCCTTAAGATTACTCTTGCTGATTCCTCTTCGTTACCAATCTCTATCCAGTCCATAATGCCATTGTGGTGGTCTTCGTCAATCATGCTGAAGCGGTGATATCATGACATTTTTCTGACGAGCCAGTCTCACCAAGCACGCCGCTGCGCGACCTTAGGCAACAACTGCAACAACTATCGGAACTATCGCTATCATTCGGTATCTGCATGTCATTGTATGTCTATGAACATCGTGCATGAACACTGTGTCATTGATCGAAGCCATGTGTACAGAGTCCGGTTGGGCTTCGGTCGTGTCTTTTCGTGTTCACAAATTCTCAAACACAAACACCAGAGATTCCAGCTGTCAACGCGCTCCAAGAAACGTCGGTGTACTTCCGCTTGAGGTAACTGCGCAGCATTTCAGGTATAGGCACGATATGGCTTATGGTGCAAATCTGTGCAACTTAGCAAGAGTTTGGCAAGGAGGAGGCTCACCTGAAGCGATCCTCGCACTGGGCATTTGGGCACCCGTCCTAGGTAGTAAAGCGAATTCGTCGGAAATGGTCCTGTGCTCATGTTAAATCCATTTCTGTCCACTATGCGCTCATACGTTGCTCAAGGTGTTTTTGAACGAACCGTGTACAGTGTATACAGTACACGTTGCACCATGGTGGACAGCAACTGCTCCCACGGGATTCAGCTGAAACACCCAGGTGTCAGCCACATAGCCTGTGAAAAGGTTTGTGCAAACATGAAATGCTGGGATGCATTTCATCTGATTTCTTGATGTTTTCCAGTGCTCTTCCTGCCTGCTAGTCTGACGGATATTTTTTCTGCATCGCTCAAGTCCATGTAAGCCTGGCATCGAACCCATCATACCTCTCTGCGCTGCTTTACAGTTCTGTTTCTATTGGCATTCTGCCCAGATCTTCAGCACGTTGTCTTGTGACAACCTGCGAAAAAACAAAAAAAAGGGCATAAACCGCCAATGGCCTGCACTAATCACTCAGCTACTGCTGTATGATGTGTCCTTCAATCTAAAATCATTCCATTCGCAGCGGTGAAGTGCTTCAGTGACTCTACTTGGCATTTGTCACACCTCTGGCCAGCAAATGCGAACATGTTTATCAGCACATGTCCGGCAAACCACACCTGTAACCCTAGGTCGAGTCAATGTACGCTTGCACTCGCTTGCTCTCTTTCCAATATTTTTTCATCACTTTGCTCAATTAATCGCATTCTCACCTTGGTCAAGGTGGCACCGTCTCCGTTCGTCCAGCGCTCCTTGCAGAGTTTGCAAGACCAGGGGACCTCAGGCCTTGCCAAGCCTCACCGGTGGTCAAAGGGAGGAAAAACAAGATGACCCAAGATAAGTGTGTTATAGGCACTCGCAGGTCTGCGCTCCTCGTCATAACCAAGTTCTCGCAACCTGCACAAGACAAGCAGAGATTTTGTTCAAATGCAAGTAGTATTGGTATGCAGAAATACCATAGATAGATTGATGGATAGATAGAGTAGAGTAGACTAGACTAGATTTGACTAGGCTAGAGTAGACTAGACTAGACGAGACCAGGCTAGACTAGGGTAGAGTAGATAGAGTAGAGTAGGGTAGAGTAGATAGAGTAGATAGAGTAGAGTAGATAGAGTAGATAGAGTAGATAGAGTAGACAGAGTAGATAGAGTAGATAGAGTAGATAGAGTAGATGGAGTAGATAGAGTAGATAGAGCAGATAGAGTAGATAGAGTAGATTCAGTAGATAGAGTAGATAGAGTAGATAGAGTAGATAGAGTAGATAGAGTAGGTAGACTAGATAGAGTAGATCAAGTAGATCAAGTAGATCAAGTAGATAGAGTAGATAGGGTAGATAGAGTAGATAGAGTAGATAGAGTAGATAGACTAGATAGAGTAGATAGACTAGATAGACTAGATAGACTAGATAGAGTAGATAGACTAGACAGAGTAGATAGACTAGATAGAGCAGATAGAGTAGATAGAGTAGATAGAGTAGATAGGGTAGATAGGGTAGATAGGGTAGATAGGGTAGATAGGGTAGATAGGGTAGATAGGGTAGATAGGGTAGATAGATTAGATCGAGTAGATCGAGTAGATAGAGTACATAGAGTACATAGAGTAGATAGAGTAGATAGAGTAGATAGAGGAGATAGAGTAGATAGAGGAGATGCAGTAGATAGAGTAGATGCAGTAGATAGAGTAGATGCAGTAGGTAGAGTAGATGCAGTAGATAGAGTAGATGCAGTAGATAGAGTAGATGCAATAGATAGAGTGGAGTAGATAGAGTAGAGTAGATAGATAGAGTTGGTAGATAGAGCAGATAGGTCGAGTAGATAGAGTAGATAGATAGAGTAGATAGAGTAGATAGATAGCGTAGGTACAGTAGATAGATAGCGTAGATACAGAAGATAGATAGCGTAGATAGATAGAGTAGATAGATAGAGTAGATTGATAGAGTAGATAGATAAGAAAGATAGATAGATAAGAAAGATTGGTAAGAAAGAAAGAAAGCAAGAAAAATAGATAGATAGATAATAGATAGATAGACAGACAGACAGATAGATAGATAGATAGATAGATTTAGGTCCTTTGGTAAATAGATACTGTAGATAGACATATGCAATATGTCACGCAGACATACTCAGCCATCGTCTCTCCCATCAACAAGACTTGTGAGTTTAAACCCACCTGTCTTGAAACGGCTGCTGCATGTCTCTCCAGCGAAGTGCTTTCCACTTGTTCTGGCAAAGGAGCTGGGCTCTGTGTCACAAGCAAACCGCAAATGACTTCAAGACTACGCACAAACCGCACAAAAAGGAAAAACAAACATGCAACAAAAAAGGACCAACACAAAGCAAAAAGGATACACAGGTCCTCCAACAGTTCCAACCTGGTGATGCAAGGCCTTGGTGAACGGAATTCGGAGCCAATCTGCTTACAAAAAACATTCAAGTATAATGGAATTTTATCATGGAAGTATAATATACAAGCTTAGGAACTTTCAGTGAATGAACAACACTTCAAGTGCCAGGAAAATATTGTTCTATTCTACACTGCAAAATATATATAATGTGCAATACGTTGAGGTTCACCATGTGCCATGAAAGTTGTTGAAGGGGTCAGTAAATGTCAATAGCTTGGCAGCAGACGCTGCCTTCTCGCATCTTTCCCACACCTGTCATGGGAGGCATCTGTTCATTGGTATGGCGTTAATCCGTGCAAAGAAGTGCAGTGCCTCCTGCTTTCCTGACTGCCCTTCCAGCCATTAGTAAAGCTCTTCACGGCTTAGAAGGCATCCCAAGTACACAGTTGAACATGACAAGACAATGTCGGAAGCCCATATTGCCTCAACTGTGTAGCCCAGGAATGCTGCAGCTTCTTGCTGACGTGGTTGCAGCTCGTACCACAGCCTTGATTGCAACAAATAGATTTAGGAGAGCAGCATTTTTTCAGGCGAACATATGATGACAAACTGCAACTCGTAGAAAATAAATCCAATAAGAAACCCTATCCGGTAATTGTCTCGCAAGGTATCAGTGACTAAGAATCGCATGAGAAAGTTCATGAAAGCAGAAACTGGGACACCTTGCCAGGATGAAGAGGACACCAGAATAAAAGCAGAATCAAAGAGATACAACGAGTACGTCCAAATTCCAGAACCATTGACCATGAATATGTCACCACCGTTTTCGGCTCAATGGGTGCAATGACTGCAATGATAACCAAGACCGGAGTAAAAGAAAAAATGTTGTATATTTAAAGGGAAAGCGATGCCTTTGGAGTGTTAAATTTGCACACAGAGTTGCAAATGTAGCAATTGGATCGAAAATGGAGGCAAAAACGGATCGAAAAGCGGCACAATTGCTCAGCAACTTGATAGGAATCCAAAACATGAATCCGCTAGACGGACTAGACGGATCCAAAATGGGCAATGACAAAAACTATTCAGTGACGAGATCAAACGATCGAACCACCGCATGCCCTCATTTGGGGAGTTGGGCCAGCTTCGCCAAGGAAACAAAGTGAATGAAGAGAAAGTAATTGACAATCAAAGCGGTTTTTTCTTTTTAACTAGACGGGATGCAATTTGTACCTGCATTACGTGGGTTGCAGCTGCGGTCAGCAAGAGACTTTTGCAGAACCCTGTGCGGAACGCTCATGTCCATGACTCTTGTAGGGCACCCTTGTACGACACTCTCACAAGCTAATCTGCTATGTCTCAATATAGCGTAGCAGGTGGTCAAACATTTATTTTGGGATCTTTGGGGACCACTTTTGTGGTGCTATATATGATCCCGTCTCCCGCCCACGAGACCCCCCTCGAATGGGTTGGGTCCCCCAGGAATACCCCTCTACCTTGTATTTTGCTGGTATTTGGTGCCTCTTGGCATATCCACCCATGCAATGCACATACTAAAGTCAAATTCCCTACCTACGACCGGTTCCTACACACACACACGCAGATATATATATATATATATAAGTACTATATATATATAATCCCTTATATACCCCTGATCAACCATCTTGCTATATCTTATGCCTGCATACTACCTATATACTATCTACATGCTATATATTTACTATCTATGCGCTTTCTACATAAAACCTATATACTTTCAAAATACTATCTAGAGGCTATCTATATACCACCTATATACTATCTATATGCTATCTATATTCTATCCTATATTTCTACTACCTATCTTATATCTATACTTTCTTATGTGTTTTGCATATTTCATATGTGTATATATATAATAGAGAGAGAGATACATTATACAGTAATATAGTATATACCTACACATACTATCCACCCACAGGAAGCGGGGGGAGGGGGAAGGGGAGAGAATCCCCACTACATATACCCACTTGTGTACCTACTGTATATGTAATCATGTGATCATGTGTATGATTGTGTATGTATCTATCTATCTATCCATCCATCCATCCATCCATCCATCCAATCTATCTATCTATCTATCTATCTGTCTGTCTGTCTGTCTGTCTGTCTGTCTGTCTCTGTCTGTCTGTCTGTCTATCCATCCATCCATCCATCCATCCTTTAAGGGGAGATCACCGGTACCTATAAACCTATACGAGCTCATACATTTACCCCCCATATGGGGATCATCACTACCTTTGTAATATATGCCTATAGTATTCCCCCATGGGCATATATGATCACCTATCCACGGGGGGGGATTTCATATACTTACATACCCCCGTAGTTACATACCCACCCCCACCCACCCACAGGGGGGCGGGAATCATCACTACCTTTTTACCTGCATATGATGTATCCTTAAACACGCAGAGGGGGGGGCGGGGATCATCTCAACCCCTGGACCGGTAGACCCATACCCTTCAACGGGGTGGGGGGGTGGGGGGAAAAATGTTAAAAACATTAGTTCAAAGAAGTTTTATAAATTCAAATTATAGCAGTATAACAACTCAATAATTATTTGCGAAAAAAAAAACATAACAACTAACCACAATTACCTCATTCATTCCACAAAATCATCACTACTAACCATATCATCATCTCATTCATTTTCATAAATCAAAACAACCTACAATCTCTATACCTCATCCATTTTATAGAAATCATCACAGTCAATACATCATCACCTCATCCATTCCATACCCAAAACAAAACAACCAAACAACAAACAAAAAAAAAACAAGCAAAGCGCAACATAAAAACCAAAACAATAGACAACAATACAGATACTTCCTTAGTCTTGAATAATCCTATCTTACAAACCCATAACTCTAATAATGTTATCATTAAAATTATGTAAGTAGTAAATGACTTCAATAATTACTAATTCAAAATGAAATGCTTGTATTCCTATTTAACAAAACATGAGAATACCTTGAATATATTTTAAATATACCTTTAACATACCATTTAGGTATATTTAATATCTTTTGGTATTCCTTTTGACATACTTTTGAATTTGATATACCATATCATATACCTTTAGTATATCCTTTGATATACCATGAACATACCTTTGTTTTTTATTCGATATATATATACGTATATATATATACCTTCAATATGCAAATGCGTTGACCACAAAAACATGTTTATTTTTAATATATCTTTAATGTACCTTGGAAAAACCATCTAATACACCTTGAAAATACCAGCTAATATATCTTTAGTATACCGTTTCATATAACATTCCTATACCTTGAACATACCCGTATTTTTGTTGTAATGTACTTGTAATATACCTTCAGCATGTTACACACATACAACCAAGACCCGTTTCTTTCAAAAAGTACTGCATACACCCAAGGGCTCTACTTCGTAGAAATGCTTCAATGTATTATTGCATACTTTTCAATCAAATGGTTCACCCCCTCGTGAAGGAAGTTTTGCCCATATTTGCACCAACACTTTCTTTAAGGAATACCAACCGTTTAAAATGGATTTCATTCTGAAATGCTGTCCTCCTTCCATAGATTCCTTTACCTCTTTAAAAGCAGCTGTAGGTCTCTTTGAAAATAACCTTTTTTCCTTTCAAAGAAGTCCTGCACTCTTTTATACAAGGGGACTGTGCAAAATGATGCCACTTTATGCAAGGAATATCATCTTTGAAAAATATTGGTTCGCAAGGCATATATTGGAGGATTTTGCTTTGAAAAACTTCAAAGTCCATGCTTAAACTTGTTTGCTTATTATTTTCAAGTCGTAGCTGTGTTGTATTTCTTCCCATGGTTTTAAGTAAGTTTCTGGGTGATGAACCAATCTGCACATTATATGCCGGAAACGGTGCAAACTTTGCAAAGTTTCCTGGATTCAAGATTCTGAGAAAGACTGTTTCAATCCAGATCCTCCTTTCAGGCTTCCCTCATCAAGACTCAAGGCTTGGGATTCAAAAAGTTTTTGTCAGAATCTTGAATCTTGAATCCAGGATTCAAGATTCTGCCAAAAAAAATTCTCTGAATCTTGAATCCCAAGAACTTTGCAAACTTTGCAAAGTTTCTTGATGTTTCTTGGGTACAATATTCCAGATTCAAGATTTATTTGCACTATGAACTATATTGACCGCCCCCATCGCTATTCTGTGCCCACGAATTTGTGCAGCTGCACTTTTGCAAAACCCTTTTGCGCAACGGTTCTTTGCACCACTTTTGCAGCAGTCTGGTGGCACATTCGTATATTCTTGATTGCTGTTGTGGGCCTTGTGGGACACCCCTCTGCAACTATCTTGCGCAATACATCCTTAAATTTTGTAAATAGTTTGAACATAAATGAACGACCTTTTCACGAGCACTCTTGGGAGATACGTTCGACAGAAAAAAGACTCGCAGCTCCTGGCAAATAAGAAAGTCATGAAGCAACTCTGTGGTTCTTAATGCCTGATTTATGATCGTTTATTTTCATTCTGCAAATTTCTTGGCCTCCCAGCTGAGCATACGATAAAGGATAGTCCATATTCATCCAGCGACTGTGGGCCTGGCTAGTTTGGAAGGAGGATTGTGGTTTTTTTAACTCTCAAAAAATGTCACAACCTCTGCAATGGATTTTTTGAATCTGGGCCGTTGATCTTGCACAGGTTTCCAACTTCCACCTTTGCACACCCCTTCATCCTTTCCACACGCGATGTTGTTTTGTTTCAGACTCAAAAATCAATGTGCGCAAGTGCGGAACAGAAGTTAAACATGAAGAGATGACCCATCCCAGTAATTCCAAAGCATCGCGCTTGGACCCTGTGAGATCGGCCCAGTTTCGGGTGTATAACCTCAGGCTTCTCAAACCACTTCTCAACCTTTCGGCGGATGTTGCAACACTTGCAGCATCCATGCGCTTGGAAATCGCCAATGCTGACAGCCAAGCATGAAGCGAGGTCTCGAACCACTGAAGTACCTGCAAGGCAGCTGTGTCCCAAAATGTGTATTGGCCGATTATTAGCCGGTTTCTTGCTTTGGATACCTTTGGAGTTTGTGGCGCCTCCAAACACGGCGCGTTGGGAACAGGAATTCCGGAAGGCCAGGCACACGACGGATTTTTGCACCTCAACACATTATGCAAGCGGCCATGCAAGCCGCGATCGAACTCATTTTCCTGCAGTGTGTGGAGAGAGGAGCACAAGCAACATCCTGGGTCATGTGAAGGCTGAATTTAACGCTCAAGGACGGGCACAAAATACATCAAAATACATGTGGCACGGTCATTTGAAGGACCGGCTGGAGTTGTTTGGATGCGATGCTGCGATGTTGATATTTCTTGATAAGGTACACATGCCAGGATGAGATGCTGTAGCCCAACGTCCGGACTGCATCTTGTTGAGCCTTCGCAGCTTGGCAGCTCAATGAGTCTCAATGCCGATTGAAAGCGATTGGTGTCGTCCAGCTATTGAGTAACTTGTAGCATTAAGGAACTTGGGACTTGACTTCAGTCAAATCCTGGTAGCAGGAGGTCTCACTTGCAGGCCTAAGAGCCCACGGATATGGTGGGATGCATGTAATCGGATGTAATTGGTGATGTCAATGCAACAAAATTCAAAGTAATTAGGTGCCAAAAAGAGAAAAGCAAGACTGGTCAAAGAGTTTGAAGAAAGATGTTCTGTCCTTGTTATCTTGGCTCCAAACACTAAAGTTGTTGTGCTAGTTGTGGGCAGAACCGTTGTCCTCTGCTGATACCAATAGAAATTGCAAGACGCACTTAGCCAGAGAAAGCCACATGCAAATCATGTTCACTCTTTGCCCTACAATGGCCCTACAAATAAAGCCGTGTGTATTTGGAAATTCAACAGTCTGCAAGCAGTTAGCCGGTCCCTCCCTGCAGCTTTCTTCCACCTTGCAAGCTGAGACTTGGGGCAGGTCACACATACTGTAGGCGGTGGCAGGGATCGACCCTTGAACATGGAAACAGAATGAAACAAATGACAACAAAGTACCTGAGAGATCCTGAGAGGGGAGAAGCGAAAGCCAGCAGCAATCTGCTTTTTGGCAGTCAATCTTTGACCCATTCCCGGCATATTCTTTTTCGCCCTGCTCCCTATTCTTCCGGCCAACGATGCTTCTACCACCTTGTTTCTACCTGAGACATCCCCATCATAGAAATTTCTTGCCATGCACCCCCTATCTCTGGTGAACCCGTCACACTGCAACAAAGGAAGTGTTGGCATTCATTCAGCAATGGGTAACCGGGTAGCCTGCTCGTGTAGCTGCTGTGTGTGCGGGTCACATGTCTATTGCTGCAAACGCCCAGCCAGGGAGATCCTTCAACGGATTCCGAGGCTCCTTGCCCCCACAGCCTAGCCTACCAGCTGGCTTTCGCAAAATATTTCTGCAAAAAAATTGACTCCTCAGTCTTGTTCTGGCTGTGCGTTCCTGGAGTTTCAATTGAGCATTTTTTTCTGCTCAACCCTGGTTTTGTAATGTTTTGTATATTGTGGCTGGTCAAAATGTCTTCTCCCAGAAGTGTGCAAAAGTCGTAAATAGCTGGGGGCCCGCTACATAACTGTACTTCTGCGTCATGTATCTTGCTATGCCTTCTAAATCAAAGGGAATCAAGGGGAGGAGAACCATTGTTGCATTTCGTTGCGAACGTCGCTAGCGCGCGGCACTTTCAACCACTCTCGGATGAGGAGGATGGCGTGCTACTGTCTGATTCTTGTGCCATGTCCTGCAGATATCGCCTTTGGTGAGTGCCTCGGCAAAGGCTTTACTTGTAAAGTTCTCAGCCCTGCTCTTTGGTACTTCTCCAAATTTCGTACTTCCATTTGACGTCAACCCCGCTAATGTTTCGATCCTAAAGAAGTGCCGCAACAAATGTTTGACTTCTGGGCCAGGGCTGGTATTGCCACATGTTCGCTAGCGCGGATCTAGCGCGGCGCGGCGCTAGCGCCAGGCTAGCGCGGATGACTGCACTACTTTTGGAAATATGTTTGACAAGTACTGGGGTTCTCATAAAAATGCAGTGACTGAACTTTGCGAAACTCAACACGTCCATACCAATGCAAAGCATTCCGGATACTGGTGGCAAACAACAAACTGTCACATCATCTCAACACCATGCCAATTCCACACAATACTCATACGATCTAATGCGAAGAAACTTCCTTCCAATGCCAAGCCGAATGTACAAGTGAACTAATTCCTGGGAATGGTAAAACCAAAAAATGCTAGCGCACTGCTAACGCGAACCTAGCGCCAAGCTGCAGAAATGCCGCGTTTAGTTGGAGGCCCGCTACATAATGAAGACTAAAAACCTATTGTCTAGAATGAATTTCGCAACTTGATTTCCTTTTCCTTCTTAGGGATTTTGACCGGATCCCATATGTATTTCTTCATTCGAATGTTTTTTGGCCAAACGAGCGGTTTCATGAAAACGCTCATTTTTAATGAGTGTAAATCGAAGCTAATCAGTAGGGCTCAGTAGGGCGCACAACGAGCGCACTTTTGCGCACACCAGCGCACTTTCGTGCAAACGAGCGCACCTCCATTCTTTCAACGGGATCCGTTTTGAGAACTTTTTGGCAAATCGAACGATTTTTTTTGAAACGAGCGTTTGAGTAAAGAGAAGAAAAGAATGCTCTTTGAAAGCCCCAGGTTTTGTATTAGGAAGGTCAACAGCTTTCCCAATTCCCACGGTTTTGGGGGGTTTTCCCGAGCTCTGTGGCTGCACGATGGGAACGCTGCTTGCGAAAGTTGAACTGGTTGGGATGTGCTGTTGTTTGGTGCTATCAAGGCTGCTTACTTCATTCAAGCTGAGAAGGCTTGAACCTGGTCATTTTGCTTACGCAATGCTGCTAGGAGGCATCGGGGCACCGCAAAAATGGTGGTTTGGAATTGTTCACTTGACTTCAAGAGTCTTCAGGTGTGTGGTGCGCGGGTCAAACGTCCTTTCCGGTTTTTCATCGCACTGTAGAATGTCTTGACGTGTTGACTTGCAGAACTGAGAATGCTTCGGCCGAATCATGTATCGTCACTCTCTCACTCAGTCAGTAGCGGCCGTGCACATCGAAACTTTTCTGGGGTGCGCAAAGTTCCTCAAACTGCTACGCTTGCCGTGCCCTGACCTTCAGTCAGGACACTGACCATGCCCACTCCTTTTGAGTGGGCAATGGCTTGACCCATCACCTTTCCCCCCCATGTAGCGCATGAGAGGGCAAAGCGCCTTACACAGGTGGTGCAAGGGGTTGGTGGAGGGATGCTTTGAACCAAAACGGTCTGACGCCGATCGGTCATGACGATACGGGGAACATGTTCCACTCCTTGTCACTCCCTCACTCAGTCAGTAGCGGCTGTTCACATCGAAACTTTTCTGGGATGCGCAAAGTTCCTCAAACTGCTACGCTTGCTGTGCCCTGACCTTTAGTCAGGACACTGATCATGCCCACTCCTTTTGAGTGGACATCCACTAGGCGATGGCTTGGTCCATCACCTTTCCCCTCTTTAGATGATGAGAAACCATCGATCTTAATTCATCACCAGGGATCTTTCCATTTCGTTTTGCCATGTTTCGCCTCTTTCCTCTTGAGGCTATTATCCACTGGTCTGTCACCCTTGGCCTCTTTCGAGGATTTCGCCAACTTGACCTCTGCGTCCAGTTCGCCGGCTTTCTCCATCAGTTCATCCAAGATCTCAAACCTCAGATCCTCCAAAACCCTTCTCTATCCTTAAGCTCTTGTCAAAGCCTTCAAACCCTTGGTTCGTCAATGCATCTGCTTCCTCGATCTGACTCCTTGGAATCCATCCCAGCTCCAATTCCAGCCCTAGCTTCTGCAGCTGCGCCGAGAGCTCCACAACCACGATCGATAGTGGGTATTTGCACGACATAAAGTGCTGCAGAACATGGGTGTTCCCCAGATTGTCCGTGCTGGCTGTCAACACCAGCCCGTTTCTGCAAGTGATATCCACCAGCCGGTCTCCAAATAACATCACTGCCGCTAGGACTGCGCATAGTTGCAGTGAAGCGATGCTGCGAAATGGGTCACCTTTTAGGTATGCCCAGGGCGCGTTCCGCCTGTTGAGCTCAATGGCAAACCAAATGGCAAACCATCTGCCTCTTCTGAGCCTTTGCCACCAGTACGCTGCTGATGCTATGCCGAAAGTACCTCGCGTATGGAGATATACTGTATCCCCATCTTCTCCTCCTGGAAGCCTGAAGGACTGAAGCCCCCAATATCTCTTCTTTACAGGCAAGAGCTTATGAGCCCTTGCCACATCGTAAAGCATAGAGAACCTTGAGGGGGACAACCCAGCGCCGCCACAGCCAAATGCCCTTTGTATAGCTCCTCTGCTTCTTTGTGATCCATCTTTACGATGGAGCCAAGTGCCACCTCATGCCTCTTGACGTCAGCAGAGCTGTTCTCTGCTGACTTGTAATTTTCCGCTGTGACATCCCGGAACTCTTCTTCTGTGAAACTCAAGTTCCAATTTCTCTTTCTCTTCAAACACCCTTTCCACTCTTGGAAGTTCTTCGTCCACTCCCAGAGATACGCCCTCTTTGGCTACCTCCTCAAGCCATAGATGGTCCGATGGTCCACGTCATCAATGGCATCTAGCATGGCCTTTAGCCTTCTGAAGTTGACCTCTGACACGCAGTCACATTCCCTTCTGTATGGGTCCAACCCCAACTCCGTCAACATCTTGTCAACGGACTCTCTAGCTTCTTCCATGTAACTTCGTCTTGCCCCCAGCCAAGGACCAAAAATCGTCCAGCTTTTTCTCCGATCCTTCGCACACCTCTAGCAACCATTTCAGGTACAGCCCCTTGCGCTCTGCCGCTTCAATGACTTCCTGCTTTCGACAGACATTTGACAGGCAGTCCTACACCTGGACAACCCACTCTCACTTTTTCGTCGGGGGTTTCCTTCTCAATCATCCACTGCTCTTCTGCACCCTCCTTTGAACTTCCCGAGACTTCCTTGTCCCTGGAAGTGGTGACCAGTGGTGTCCCTGGAATCTTCTTCTCGCTTCTTACCAGGGCATTCTTCTTTTCCAGAGAATTCCTTGCCTATGGAATCCTCCTCTGCGTCCTCGTTTCCAGAGACTCCCTTGTCTATGGAATCCTCCTTTGCTTTCTTTTCCGTTGGGGCCATCCTTTTGCCCTCTTCAGAGATGGCCCCGGCGTGTCGCAGTTGTTTGAAAATGTGCTCTATGTTGGCCAAGGCGATGCCTTCGTCCAAACGAGGTGGATAGACATCAGTTCCGGTGGTCTGGAACTCGGAATTTGTGGCGCGCCTCGCCTCACGTTGCAACTGCAAAGAGACTTAGCCGGGGGCCCCTCTCCGGCCATTCGGTATGTCCCCATGGTTTCACCTCTGTTGAGGTGGACAGCAACCTCGTTGGTTTTCGCCAGGGAGCGCCCCAACAGCATTGGCAAATTGCCATAGTAAAAATTCCACCTGCAACTCTTGTCAACCAAATGACGAATTTTGTCAATTTGCCAAACGCTGGCAGGAAGCAAAACCATCCCGTCTTCTTCTCTCTCCACCCGACCAAGATCTTCGGGGTGTTCCCCGAACAATGAAACCATCTTGTGAAACAGGATGCAGGTCCACTGCCTGTCACACCCTTACGGAGAAGCGAACCAGTTCATTACCAAGGTCGGTTTCAACCTGAAAACGTCTTTTTACCCATGGGTACCCACACAAGTATTCTTTACTTCGTAAAGGTGGAGGGCCCCTCATGTTAGCCATGCGAACACGGCTCCATGTACTACAAGGTGGTGTACAAATGAGTGAAACAGGCCATCATGGGTATCACTAATTATCTTGTCTTGCAACTCGGAATGGGTAAGATCAAACTCTTGACTCTTGACCCCTTTTCAAGTCAACCTCACGCGCCACTAGTCCCCAGCCCTTTCTTTTTGTCAGCTGCTCCAAGTAGCGAATCACTGATGTCTTCCTCTCTGCACCTGCAAACAGGTACAGAACTCTGAGAGTGAAACGCTCCCCAGAAACTTCTTTACTGTCTTTGGGCTCCTCACCATTGGGAAACTTCTCTGTCCCCGGATCTGATACCTGTCCTCCTTTGCTTGTATCTTCCATGCCCAAGGGTGGAAGATCCCCTGGTGCCACCTGTCACTTCCCCTCTGCGCAGGCTGCCCCTGTCCCCGCAGTGTCCTTGTCCTTTGGCCCTTTGGCATCCTTGCAGCTGGGCGATTGCCGAAACATATCTGGCAGCAATGGACCCGACCACAGTTGAAGCGGCAGCGCTGGTCCCTGTACAGGACGGCCCCAACGGACTTTCCGTTCCCTTTTGATTTTCCGCCACCATGCTTTCCTTTTCCCGAGCGGCTCCATCCGTACCCATAGCCTCCTCGCTCCCGTGACTTATCACACTGCCGTCGCCTCTTTCCGTCGCCGCATCCAATGCTGCTGGCGTGAGGAAGTACCTCTCTTTCACGTTGCCGTGCCCAAAGCCTCGGCCATGTCCACACCGTCATTCATCAGCTTCACCATTGCTTTTCTGACCTGATATTCCAAGGATAATACCAGGTCTAGGCTCGGCGTCGAGACTGTCTCGCCCTTGGAGTTCTTCGCACGCAGGCCGGCAACATGTTCTGCTAGGAGAAGGTCTGAGTACTTGTTGAACAAGTTCGGTCCGATGTTTCTCAACCCGGGCTTGTTAGGATACTTCAGTTGGACAAAGATGTAACAATGTCCGAGGAGTTTGGTTCGTTGCCTCAACTCCTCCCCGGACTTCGGAGGCTTGCTTTCTCCATGTCCTTTCTTGATTTTGACGTGCCAGCTTTGTCAATGGTGGCTGCGACCGGCTCCACCTCCTGGTCCTGAAGACTGAGGAACTGCACCAAGGACATTGTCTTAAACTCGCCAGAGTCAATTTGCTCAAAGAGCGACTCCAGGGTTCCGATTGATGGTGGGACCCGATCCTCCAGAGTGTAGTGAAGCTGTTCAAACTTCGCCTTCAAATCTTGAGCTCAGTGCGGTTTGGGGGTGGTGGCATAGCCGCACAGATGGCTTCTGCCTCTGCTTTGTGCCTTGTGACCATCCTCGTCTTACATGCCTTCCATAGGTCAATCAGACCTGCAATGACCACCACATCACGCTCTCGATCGAGGTTGCAGTGTATGTCTCCAGCTCCTTCTCCGATCACACTGAATATGCTAATGCTTTTGACACCAGCATTTGACAGTGTGGCCTGCAGCATCTCGGCAATGCCCTTCCTCCCCATCAGACCATGGAAGTCTGGGTCCAGCTTCGCAATGGCTTCTTGCCGCCCTTCTGCCGTGGCCAAATCTGGCAGTGCAGGCGCCGCCATGAGAAACCTCAGTGCAGGGAGCGTCCAACAGGCTGGGATTCACCTGGCTTGAGCAAGACAGCTTCTGACATGTTGGCACGCACTCAAGTCCACAATCGCACAAAACATGCGACCAAATGCAAACATCATCCAACCCCCACAAAATGACCCCCCTTCATCGCTATCTAAGCTGATAACATGTCTGCCCTTAAAGGCCCCTTTCCCTTCTATTGCGCTGAGCAGGTTCATCATGCTTTCCATGACGCCAACGGACTGCCTGTCCTTATCCGGTCAGCAGGCAAGACCCGTGCCTATCAGGCCATTGCCAGGCCTGACTCCTTCAGTCACTTGAACTCTCAACCGATGTGCTGCTATCGGATGAGCTAACGTCATCTCCCCCTTCCCCATTCTCGGAATGCCGAAAAGGCCAGGCCGTCGTCAAAGGGATCTCCCCTCTTCTTGGAGCGGCTCCTGAAAACTCAGCCACCCCCGCTTGTGCCCTCAGCACGTTTGACCTTCCAGTCCTCTCATAGGACTGATCCACAGTGGGTATCCAACTTCCCTCGGGAGACCAGCTAGCACACCCAAGGTAGCCAGAGATTCCATGGCTCCCAACGGCGCAGCTACATGTCCCCTGTCCATGCTTTGAACCAAAACGGTCTGACACCGATCGGTCATGACGATACGGGGAACATGTTCCACTCCTCAACTTGGGTCTTGTCAGTCTCGTGTTGGTGAACTTGATTTGAGATATGCTGCAGCACTTGGCTAAGATATGTTGCTGCACTTGGCTACTGCCTTGCACCTTATATTTGCAATCTTTCGCAGCCGTGGCGGTCTAGTTTCAATTGTCCTTGTTGGGCGAGTTAAGGAAGCAAAAAACGAAACCGCGCAAACCATATGAGGCTCACAAGACCATGATGCATCGTTGATCACGGTGATATTGCAGCAATATCCAACCATGTTTGTATGCTTGACTTCTTCGCATTTTGAGTTTCATCATCATCCTTGCAGAACCTGATTTCCGGCACGGCCTGTGTCTGACACAGCAAGCAACTCGTGATCCATGTCCTTCTCATCAAATCTCAGCCTGATGCAGCAACATGTGGCACATCAGGTGACCAAAACATGAGATTCTGTGGTATGAAACTACCACCACAACACATCACAACGCATCACAACCTTGTAATTGTTTGTAAATAGGCAGCAAACACTCTCTGAATGTGAAGTCCATTCTGGGTCGCAGAAGCTTCGGTTGTCTTGAACAATATTGACAACAGAAACACGCACAGTTCCAATCGCATTCTCAGGCCAGCTGGTTAGGATTGGCTTCACGTTCCCATGAGCCCAAGATGCAAACCACCGCAAACACACTGGCAGTCTCTGCCTTCTGCCAAACGTGGTCGTGACTGAGAGCACCTCGGAAAGGAATTGGGCAGCAGACCTGTGAGATTGTGAAATAGATCATAGATAGATAGATAGATAGATAGATAGATGGATAGACAGATAGATAGATAGATGGATAGATAGATAGATAGATAGATAGATACATAGATAGATAGGTAGATAGATAGATAGAGAGAGAGAGAGAGGAGAGAGAGAGAGGAGAGAGAGAGAGAGAGAGAGATAGAGAGATAGAGAGAGAGAGAGATAGGTAGACAGATAGGTAGAGAGATAGATAGAGAGAGAGATAGAGAGATAGATAGAGAGATAGATAGAGAGATAGATAGAGAGATAGATAGATGGATAGATAGATAGATGGATAGATAGATAGATAGATAGATACATAGATAGATAGGTAGATAGATAGATAGATAGAGAGAGAGAGAGAGGAGAGAGAGAGGAGAGAGAGAGAGAGAGAGATAGAGAGAGAGAGATAGGTAGACAGATAGGTAGAGAGATAGATAGATAGAGAGAGAGATAGAGAGATAGATAGAGAGATAGATAGAGAGATAGATAGAGAGATAGATAGATAGATAGATGGATAGGTAGATAGATAGATAGACAGACAGACAGATAGAGGTAGAGAAATAGAGAGATAGAGAGATAGAGGGATAGAGAGATAGAGGGATAGAGAGATAGAGAAAGAGAGAGAGAGAGATATAGATAGATAGATAGATAGATAGATAGATAGATAGATAGATAGATAGATAGATAGAT